ACACTTTAGTTTGCCTTTCTAACTCATAAAATAGCTGCTTCCTTTGTCTGAAGCAGAAAAAAATTAAGAAATATGTAACTATCCATATTAGGTCCTTGAAAACAAACAAACCAAAAAAGGTCTGTTTTTCTCCCAAAAGAGAAAAGCTTGCCCTTTTGTACTTCTTTTCTCAGTTTTCTTTATTGGTTACTATAGCCCCCCCCCCCCATTTATTGTATTTAACTATTTCAGATACAACATTTCTTTCATGAAAGACTGCATCCTTGTAATGGATAAAATATTTTGAAAAAAAAAAGTCAAAATGTTTTAAAGATAAATATAAAATATTGTATCCCTGTGTCTGACTGGAAAATTTTACTTAAATATACTCAACAAATGTATATTGACTGACATTTACTCTATACTCCAAGCATTGTGAAAATCGTATCTTTATATTCATATATATTTATAATCATGTATATATAGTCACACATAAGCACATATGAAAGACTTTTTTCAAGGAAATTGTAATCAAAATGTATGTCTGGGCATGCATTTATAATGTCATACACATGTACAGTATTTTCTGGGGATTGATATGTCCTTACAGTCTTTTTTAGTGTTTTAAACTCTAAATTCCTAAGGGGACCTGGCTTTAACATAGTTCTCTTTGCACATATATCACCACACCAATATATGTAATAAGTGACTTTTGATGTCAATTCTTGAGATTAAGCCTGAAGATTCGGTCTATAACTGAGTCAATAAAATATTTGTGCTTTCATGATTGTTATAGTTTAATTTCATCTCAAGGAAAAGATCACATACAAAACTAATTTTAATCTTAAGTCTTACTCCAGTATATGACCTAAATTTAAATTCATAAGCTATAATATCAACACTAAGAAAACATATTTGGCCCAGAGCCATTGTAATAGAAGCCTAGGAGATTTGATAGCATTAGACCATGAGGAAGTCAAATTACCCAGAGTGAAAAAATAATGCGTCACTGTTAGGTCACACCTCTTCTCCAGATGAAAATTCACAAAGGGAAAATGTAGGATATGAAGACTGGCAACAGCCTTGACTGTAGACTTGTCAGAGTGGAAATAAAGACCTTAGGATTCTGAAGGCACAAAGCCAGTAGCTTCAGGAGAGGAAGCCTAGACAGAAGACACAAGACGAGAACAAAAGTTAACTATGATTCCTTCTCATGGGGTAAGAACCATTTCCTCTGTGGGGGAGAGTAGAGATCCTGGGGCTACAAGTCAGCAGAGCAGAGTGAATGCTGTATGGTCTATTTCAGTGCTTAGTACGTAATCATTTATAGAGTTAAACTCAACAAATGCTAAGATTGATCAGGTGTGTGAAACACATGGGCATCACTCCTGGGATTGGTAGCATCACTTGCAGTTTAAAATGGAGTTTACACAGGGGACCTTAAAATAGACGTGAATGCTACTATGAGCACTTACATAATACAGTTTTCATTGCTAACATGACAATTAGACAATGAACCAGAGTCTTCTTGGCTGCGCTAGTTATCTGGCTAATAAATTCTAGTCAATCTCAAGTAACAACCTTAAACTTACAAAGGTTCTACTGCCCTCTAGGTTCTCCTAAGCATACTGGTTTGTATTGAGTAGAAAGCAGGAAAACTGCAGCTTTCCCAGAGCTTTTAGCTCATAGCAACAGGGATTGGACGGTGATGGATTTTTGTGCCACTCTTTCCGGTCTAGGGATTAAGAGCTAACCTGAATGTTGTCTACCCCATATTTATTGGAAAATCTAAACAGGGTATCAAAGGAGCTTTGCCCAGAAGTATTCTGGATTTTTTAAAAAAGACATGGGGAAAAATATACTCCCCCAACCCCAACCCAAGTATCCCAAGTTTTCATTTGTTAATACAGGCTTCCAAGCCTTATGGATTATGAAACATACTGTTAAACCATCAACAGAAGTGAGGTCAATCAGATACAGAAAGTCATATGTCTTTCAGAGGAACATGCCATGGAGGGAAATTGCTACTGTTCTGATTGTAATATGATTTTGAATAATTTTTATTTTTAATTTATAAAATACCCACGTGTTAGAAATGATCTGTAAGGCATAACACAAAGATGATGAAGTATAATTTGAGACAAGGGGTAAAATAGCATGAATGTTTTCTTGTTTATTCTTTATAGGATTATACATAATTCATTTACTTGAATATGGTGAATTGTAACCTACTTCTGTCTTTGTGATTTCATGAAATAGGGAAAACATCCCATCTGGAGCACTCGGGGGAAAACTCCTGTGAGTTTTAACTTAGCTCAGACCCTCAAATTTCATTTTTGGTATTTTCTTTTCTCCTCAGGGAAATAAGTGTTATAGTGACATAAAACACAGAATGGGAGATAAAATGAACCATTTATGTGGATCCTAACAGTTTTCTGCAGAGTAAGGCATCTTTCCTATACTTGAGTCTTCTGTAAGTTACTTCAGTCTGTAGAAAATTTCATGATTATAGAGCAATTTCTTGAATAGCCAACTTGAACAAATACTTTCTAACAGCACAAACATTCCTTTGATCAAAAAAAGTGCTGCTGGAGATAAGTCACACCATCTTGTTTCCAGTTCTCACTGGAGAACTGAGTGAATAATCCATGGACCCACATGGAAGCTCAGTGTTAGCTGGAAAACTCCAAAACATCAGCTTCTACACTAGGTGAGAGAACCAAGACGATGCACTATGGGCAGTAAGATTTTTGCTACAGAAATCTGTACTTAAGTGGACAATTGATGCAGGAGGACTGAGAGAGGACATAAGGGGTCATGAATTTAAAAAGATAATACAGAGAAGAAGAAAATAAAAATTTTTTTCTAGTTTTATTGAGATGCAATTGACATTCATTTATGTTTTACAGCATGGTTATTTGATACATGTATATATTGCTAAGTGATTACCACGTAAATTTAGTTAACATGTATCACCTCACATGCTTATAAGTTTTTTTCTTATAATGAAAAATTTTAAGATCTAAACTTAGAAAATTTCAAATATAAAAATTAGTATTAACTGTGGTCACCATGCTATGTGTCACATCCCCAGAACATACTTATATTACAACTGGATTTTGTACTTTCTGAGTACCTTCACCCATTTCCCCCATCCACCCCCTGCCTCTGGCAACCATCAATCTGTTCAATCTTTCTATGAGTTTTACAAAATCCACGTGTAAGTGAGATCATACAATATTTACTTATCTCTAACCTATTTCATTTAGCATAATACCCTCAACAAATGGCAGAATTCCTTCCTTTTTAAGGCTGAATAATATTCCATTGTATACATATATCACAAATGGCAGAATTCCTTCCTTTTTAAGGCTGAATAATATTCCATTGTATACATATACCACAACTTTTTCTTATACATTCATACATCAATATATAGTTGTATCCATGCTGTAACTATTGTAAATAATACCACAGTGAACATGGGGGAACAGACATATCTTTGAAATAGTGATTTGTTTTCTTTGGATATATACCTAGATGTGGGATTTCTAGATCATGCTGTATTTCTATTTTTAATTTTTTGAGTAACCTCTGTACTATTTTTCATACTGGCTGAATCAATTTACATTTCCATCAATGGTGCGTAAGTGTTTCATTTCTCCATATTCTAACCAACACTTTTTATCTCTCATCTTTTTGATGATAGCCATTCTTACAAGTGTAAACTAATATCTCATAATGGTTTGGTTTGCATTCCAGGATGATTAATGCTCTTGAGCACTTTTCATGTACCTGTTGGCCATTTGTATGTCTTCTTTGGAAAAATGTCTATTCAAATCCTCTGCCCATTTTAAAAATCAGATTGCTTGGTTTTCTCGCTATTGAATTGTCTGAAATTCTTTTATATTTTGGATATTAACCCCTTATCAGACATATAGTTGGCAATATTCTTCCCATTCTGTATGTTGCCTTTGTATTTTGTTGGTTTCCTTTGTTGTGCAGAAGATTTTTTAGCTTGATATTATCCCACATGTTTATTTTTGCTTTTACTATCTCTGCTTTTGGTGTCAAATCCAAAAATGTCATTGCCAAGTCTGATAACAAGGAGTTTACTTCTATGTTGTCTTCTAGGAGTTTTGTGGGTTCAACTCTTATATTCAAATGTTAATCCATTTTCAGTTGATTTTGTGTATGGTGTAAAATAAGGAACCAGTACTATTCCTTTGCATGTGGCTCTCCAGTTTTCCCAACACTGTTTATTGAAGAAACTATTCTTTCTCCATTGTATATTCTTGGATAATTTGTGAAAATTAATTGACTACATATGTATGAATTTATTTCTGGCCTCTATCTTCTGTTCCATTGATCTGTGGATCTTTTTTTTTAATGCATATACAGTTAACTTACAATATTAGTTTCAGGTGTACAACATAGTGATGTAATATTTTTATTGATTATACTCCATATGAAATTATAAAATATTGGCTGTATTCCCAGTGCTGTATACTACACTTTTATATCTTATTTTATAACTAGTAGTTTGTACCTCTTAATCCCCTTCCCCTATCTTGCCCCTCATTCCCACTCCCCTCTTTCCTGTGATAAACACTAGTTTGTTCTCTGTATCTGTGAGTTTGTTTCTGTTTTGTTATATACATTCATTTGTTTGTTTTGGGTTTTTTTTGATTCCACGTATAAATGAAAGCATACAGTATTTGTCTTTTTCTGTGTGATTTAGTTCACCAAGCATAATATCCTCCAGATCCATCCATTATTTAGTCTTTTTTATGGCTGTTAGTATTCCGTTGTATGTACATGTATATGTTTGTTATATATATATATACTTTTCTCTATATATATGTATAGATGGATGAATAGATAGATAGATAGATCACATATATTATCTTCTTTAACCATTCATCTATTAACACTTAGGTTGCTTCCATATATTGGCTATTGTAAATATTGCTGCTATGAACATTGGTGTATGTATCTTCAAATTACTGTTTCTGTTTCTTCAAAAATAGTGGTTAGATGTCGTGAAGTAGGTGGCAGTACCTTAACCTCATGAGTGTTGTCAGGCCCGAAGCTTCTTCCATCCTTGTTAGGGGGAGTGCTAACCTTCTTTCATTTTACACAGCAGTCTTAATGTTTGTTTTTATGCCAATGTCATACTGTTTTGATTACTATAGTTTTGTAACATGGTTTGAAATCAGGGAGTGTGACTCCTCCAGCTTTGTTCTTTTTCAAGATTGCTTTGGCTTTGGTGGGTATTTTGTAGTTCCATAAGTTTTAAGATTTTTTTTCAATTTCTGTGAAAAAATGTTTTGCCTATGTTTTCTTCTTAGAGGTTTATTGTGTCGTGTCCTATGCTTAAGTCTTTAAGCTATTTTGAGTTTATTTTTGTGTATGGTGTGAAGGAGTGTTCTAACTTCATTGGTTTACATGTATCTGTCCAGGTTTCCCAACACCACTCGCTGAAGAGATTCTCTTTACTCCATTGTATGTTCTTGCCTCCTTTGTTGAAGATTAATTGACCATAAGTCTGTAGGTTTATTTCTGGGCTCTCTATTCAGTTCCATTGATCCACGTGTCTGTTTTTGTGCTGATACCATGCAGTTTTGATTTCTGTAGCTCTTTAGTATTGTCTGAAGTCTGGGAGGGTTATTCCTCCAGCTTTGTTCTTTTTCTTCAGTATTGCTTTGGCAATTCTGGGTCTTTTGTGATTCCATATAAATTTTAGGATTATTTGCTTTATTTTAGTTCTGTGAAAAATGTCCTGAGTAATTTGATGATTGTTCAGTAACATGTTGTTTAATCTCTACATATTTGTAACTATTCCAGTTTTCTCCTAGTAATTGATTTCTAGTTTCATATCATTGTATTTGGAAAAATGCTTAATATTTCAGTCTTTCTAAATTGACTTGTTTTATACCCTAGCACATGATCTATCATGTAAAATATTCCATGTGTACTTGAGAAGAATGTGTATAATGCTGTTGTTGGATGGAATGTTTTATAAATATCTGTTAAGTCCGTCTGGTCTACTGTGCAGTTTAATGTTTTCTTACTGGTTTTTTTTTTTTTTTTGGTTGATATATCCATCACTGAAAGTGGGTTAGTGAAATCTCTTACTATTATTGTATTGTTGTCTATTTCTCCCTTTAGGTTTGTTAGAATTTGTTTTTTGTATATAGGTGTCTATGTTGGGTGCATAGATATTTACAAATTTTATATCTTCTTGTTGAATTAATCCCTTTTTCATTATATAGTGACCTTTTTGTCTCTTATTGAACTTTAAAGCCTATTATGTCTGATGTAAGTTTGGCTGGTCTTTTGGGTCTCATGGTGGCTTTCAGAGGTAGGTGTTCTGAGGCCACATCCTCCACCTAGAAATTTTAAAAGTTGGCACCCTACATGTTGGGTCCAAATTCTTCACCCTTCAGGGAGAAGCTGGGAGTTGGAATTTCCCTCCGATGATTGCATGTTTCTGTGCTGGGGATGGGGTTTATGGCACGAGTATGTGTCAGCCTCTTTAACCATTTTGATGTGGTATTTTCTTATTTACCTGATGTGTATGATAAGAGTCAGCCAGTTTCAAGATTCCTTTCAGAAGGATTTGTTCCATGTGTAGCTGTAGCTTTGGTGTGTCTATGGGAGGAAGCAAGTTCAGGAGCCTACCATCTGGGACCAGAACTCTGAATATGTATAAAAAATCAAATAAAAGGATTTTGCTGGATATTATTATGGAAATAAAAGTGGAAATACAACATTTCAGGAAAAGTACTTCTCAAATTAAATTCATTATATAGACTTTTTTTGATGCTCAAAAAGAAAACTATTGTCACAGAATTACTAATAATAGAAGGACTGAGTGAAATGTACATTATAGTAGTAATAGCAGTTCTAGGAGTAGCATATACTCCAGTCATTCCTGCTTAGGTATACACTAGGTTGTGTATAAAGTAATTATTTTGGTTACTTTTTTGTAGCATTAGATATTATTATGTAAAATTCTTATCCTTCAAGACCTAATTCCAAGTGGCACCTCTTCTCTTGCCTTCATTGATCTAATTCAGATCCTTCCCACTTAGAGAGCCTTATGCATTCTCTGTTACAGTGTTTAACTTCTTATCTTATAAGTCACTGCTGTATGCCTTTGTCTTCCTCATATCTTATGACAAGTTTATGACATTTCTTAATGTCTTGTTTGTATCTTCCCAGTATTTGGGCAGTGTATGGGGCATTGAGTTGCCTAACAAATGTTCATTGGATTACTAAATATATTGGAAAAGGTCTCTTCTCTAGACTGGCACCTGATTTCTTAAATAATTCTCTTTTTGATTGAGAGTCATTTGATCAGTGAATAAATGTTGATTTAGTACCTAGAATTTTCAGGTACTCTTGTGTTCGCCTTAAGTTTCTTTGACTTTTTTCTTCCATGGTTTTTTATTGACAGTTACTGAGCTGTTTATTTGTACTTTGTCTTTATTCATATTCTTTTTACAACTTAGCATAAAATAAGTACCCCAAAAGGAAAATAAAAATGAATGCTTCTTTTCAAAAATAAGTATTAGTACCTAAAATTTCCATCTTATATGTGTGTGTGTTTCATTATTTTATACTGTAATATCCATAAGGACTGAATCTGCTATAATTAGAAGTAAGATTCTGAATCTTCTCTAGATAAAAGTAAAGCTTCGTATATAAGAAAAACAGATGCATGGTCTTTAATTCATTCATTTAGCAAAGATATATTAATGCCTTAATATTTGTTAGAGACTGTAAGCATGAAAGAGACGTAGATTTTTTCCTCAGAGATCACTTTAATTCCCTGCTTCCTCCTCTTTTTCAATTAAGGAATATACAATAATTTTGGTTCCATGTACTTATTTTCTCATTCTTTTGGCCTTAAAACATCTCTTCATAAATGGAAAATATTTAGAATTTATTGTTTATAAAACTGAGTCCTGGAAAAACTTTGAGTCTTCTTTTCAGCTGTCACTTATAAGGAAAAGCAGAGCCTCTAGTTCCTGTAAGGAGAGGGAAATATATTCTATGTACCTTTTAGTATCTGTCTGTTTAGTTTGTGGGAACCTCTAGAATACTTGGAAATGCTCAAAGTTTCCTTGATATTTACCAAAATATTTCCAATTTCATTGCATGCTTTCCATGCAATGCAGAATCAATCAGCCATTTTTCAGCTTAGTCAAGAGAATATTTGTAGTTCCTAAGCCATTAATTGCATTCAGTCTTCACTTGACTTGATTAATGACCATCTCGAGAGTAAATAAACACTTGCCTAGTTTGGCACATAGTGGTTTCTAAGGGATTTAATTTATCTATGTTTTCCATTATATGCTATTGAATTTTGGACCATTCAAATACTTAAGCCGAGTGTTTTTAAATTAGTCTATTAGAATTGATTATAACTTAGTAATGAGTAAAATTATGGTTACCTAGCAATTCAATAACTTCAGGTGCCTAAAACCACTTAAAGTTTTTGGCCAAAAGAAGTATACTTATCCCATTTAAAATAAATCAAAAACTTATTTTAAGAACTAAAATTTTATTAACATTTTCTTAGCAATCATTTTCTACCACTTTAATTATCTTAAACATATTTATAAGAATGTGGTGTAAAAATTAGTTATATGTCTAAAAATTATGCCTCTACAATTGCTATCTTTAATGACAGGATCTATAAATAAACAATTTACTGTCCTTAAGTGAATGCAAGTAACTTTACATCTCCTTGAAATAAAAGATAACAGACTAGAAAAAAAAATACTTTCCTGGTACTAAGAGACTTAAGTGTGCAAGGTGCTTTTAGATTTTTCTTTACTGTATTGTATTTTGTAACTTTAATGGGTATAGAATTTTAAGTGCAGAATACCTTTATTGAATATGAAAATAAATATTTTTAAGATTATTCATTTCACCCATCCCACAATTATTTGGCACATACTACATGTAAGATACAATGCTCGGTACTAGAGATAAAATGATGAACAAAAAGATACATGGTTTCTACTTTCATGTTGCTTAAAGTCTGATGGGCAAGCCAGGCATTAATCATATAATCACAAACATAATTTTAAAATTACAGCTATGACACCTAGCATAAAAGAAGTGTGCATGAGTGTCCACAGTAGAGATTTAACTTATCACAGAGGTTGCTATGATATGAATGTTTGTGTTCCCTCAAAATTCATAAGTTGAAACCTAATCTCTAATGTGAAGAGAATTTGAGGTGGGGACTTGATTAGGTCATGCGATTGGAGCTGTCATGAATGAGATTAGTGCCCTTATTGAAGAGGCTCCAGAGAGAGCCCATGCCCTTCTGCCATGTGAGGATAGAGAGGAGATGGGACGTAATGAGGAGGCAGGCTCTCACCAGACACTGAGTCTGTCAATCTCATGGACTTGGACTTCCCAGCCTGCAGAATTGTGAGAAATAAATGTTTGTTGTTTATAAGCCACCTGGCTTAAGGTATTTTTGTTATAGTAGCTCAAATGGAGTAAGACAGAGGTCAGGGAGGGCTTCTGAGAAGCATCACTTACGCTGAGATCCGTGGAGCCTAGTAGCTCCATCTTTACATTCTTCCAATCTCGCACTCCCCAGTAAGGGAGGTTTTCTCAACTAGCGTTTAAATATGAGAGATGTAAGTCCTGATGCTGTAACACGTTCATTGTTTCAAGACAATGGATGTTTTGCACATGAACAATTATCTGTCTTACATGGCATTGTGGATGGTAATAGTGAGGTGCTCTTTTTTCTTTTTTTAAAATAGACTTTCTTCTTTTAGTGCAGTTTCAGGTTCACAACAGAATTGAGAAGAAAATACAGAGAGTTCACACATAGCCCTCCCAACCCACACATATGTACTCCTCTACCCTCAACATCCTTCATCAGTGTGGCATATTTGGTACAATTGATGAACCAACATGGACACATTATTATCAACCAAAGTCCATAGTTTACATTAGAGTTCACTCTTGATGTTGTACTTTGTGCGGGTTTTGACAAATGCATAATGACATGTAGCCACCTCTATAGTATCATACAAAATAATTTCATTGCTCTAAAAATCCCTTGTGCTCCTTCTATTCATTCCTCCCTCCTTCTCTCTCCCCAAATCC